CCGTCTCTGTTGGATGAAGACTTTTGTTGGAATAGCAAGATCTATAAGATTTGATATATTAGAATGTTTAACTAATGTTCTGCGCAGCCATGAGAGTATTTGAGCCTGTATTGGTTCAAGAATTACAGGTACATTAAGGCCCCCATCTTTGTACGATTGAATAATCGTGTTTCGCGTGATCTTGTCAGGTTTTCCTTTCCAAACGAATATAAAACATTTTTTCTGTAGATTTTGAATGGTATCACTTCTTGGATTTGGCAACATAGTGAAAAGATGGTTTAGGGAAGTTAATATAAGGCTTTTAAGAACAGTAATTCTACCAAATGGGGTAAGGTCTCTTCCACATCGTCATTGTCTTATCAACTTGTTTTAGTTTGTCTTTATAATTTCTTTCAACCATTTCAGCCTGGTTGTGTTGAAATTGAATTCCGAGTAAAGTAAAGGGCCTTTGGGACCAATCTAGTTTGAAGGTCTTACAGTATTGAATGCTTGAGTATTGCCTAGAACCAATCCATATTATTTTACTTTTTTCTATGTTAATTTTAAGGCCAGAAAATTCAGCATATTTATTAAGGATACCAAATTGTTGCTTGAAAGCATTTTTCCGTTCCATCAAGAATAAGTGTTGTGTCGTCTGCAAATTGCGTTAATAAATATTCGATCTCAGGAAATTTAACACCTTTTACATTTTTCTTTTCCCTCAACATGTGTGCCAAAATTTCTGTGCAGATGAGGAAAAGATGTAGTGAAAGTGGGTCGCCTTGTCTACATTCTCTCGAAATATTCACTGGAAAAAACATTTACTAGAACACTTGACTTTATATCATTGTAAAAAGTCTTAATCCAATGTGTAATACAGGGTCCAAAATTTAGAAAATCTAAACAATTCTCAATAAATTTCCATTCAACGGAGTCAAAAGCTTTTTCAAAGTCGATTAGTATAAGTAAACCTGGTATATTCATTTGTTCGGTGTATTCCATTACGTTACGCTATTGAAACTTTGCTATCAAGTTTCGCGGATTGTTAAATCCGCCACCTCAATATTCTCCCGTCACTTGGCCTGATCATCAACAGCTGAATCAGCTGGGTATTTGGTACGCTTGACACCCTCAAGGTGAGTCAGCTGGGTATTTGGTACACTTGACACCCTCAAAGTGAGTCATATTAAAAATAATAATAATGCTAATTTTTGCGCCTAGAATCCAACGCGATGCTGTTCTCTGGCGTTACATTAATACCCTGACGGAATTGTACTTTCAAAGCTGCTACTAAGCGCCAAGCGCGACCGTATAGGTCCGTACATCCGGGTACATCCGGGTCCGTACAGCTGGGTGGACTGAGTGCAATGTGGACGAAGTGCCTTGCCCAGGGACGCAACACAGTATGAGACCAAGGTCACAAATTTTGGTGTCTCCACCGGGATTCGAACCTGGGCCTTTGGCATGAGAGGCCAGCATGCTAACCACTACACGACTGTGCTCCACAACTCCACTGACTCCACAAGGTGAGTCAGTTGGGTATTAGGAACACTTGACACACTCAAGGTGAGTCAGCTGTGTATAAAGTACACTTGACACCCTCAAGGTGAGTCAGTTGGGTATTAGATAAAATTGGCACCCTCAAGGTGAGTCATCTGGGTATTAGGGAAACTTGACACCCTCAAGGTGAGTCAGCTGTGTATTAAGTACACTTGACGCCCTCAAGGTGAGTCGGTTTGACCTCATATCGCCTACACCACTATTTCGCCTACAGCTTATATAAACATCCTGTCAAATCCCATCTACCCTGTTCAGGGAATGGAATGGCCCTATTCCACTGTAGTTTCATCGAATGCAACTAAATGGGAGAGAAGACTATTGAGAAGTTACTATTGATACATGATTTGTTTTAAGTATACAGTGAAGGATATTAGTGAAGGGGGTTATGCTTACCCCCTGGGTGAGATAATCCCATTGTTTTGATTAGAATTAATACTTCAAAAGATTTATCTTATAAAAGTAAAAAGATTATAATTAGGTCTGTTGTGGTTGCAATGAGGGGTCATCTCAACATAATTTTCTCAAAGTATATATACATGCCACTGATCTTTAGTCGGTATCAAAATGGCAAATCTCCAGAGAGCTGAGTTCGTGACTTCACAGAGAGGTGGACAGCAGTTACTGTATGCAGGCTACCGGTACAGGCTCAATGTCAAGCGACAGGTTGCTACACACTGGAAGTGTGTCCTCACAGGATGCAATGGTCGCAGCAGCACCATCGGAGACCACGTAGTGTCCTCCACTATTCACAGCCACCCACCCTTTGAGAATGGAGAACACATCCGACTCGTCGCCCGTGTAAAAGAGCGTGTAAAGACTGACATCTCACCGGTGCTGCAGATCTACAACAACGAGCTCGACCTCCTTGGTGAAGATGATGCCGCAACTGCACCCACGTACTCTAATATTCAGGCCGCACTGTACAGACACAGAGCCAAGTCCATCCCACCACTGCCTGAGAGCAGGGCTGGCGTCACTCTAGAAGGAATATGGACCCAGACCGATGATGGCCGAGAGTTCCTCTGTGTAGACGACGGTAAAGATGACAGACTTTTGCTGTTTGCTACAACCGAGATGCTGGAATTATTGAGCGACGCTGACATTCTCTTTATGGATGGTACATTCTTTGTGTGTCCTAACCTGTGGCTACAAGTGTACATCATTCATTGTCTGGTGAATGGTAAAATGTTTCCTGTCGCTTTTGCGTTCCTTCCCAACAAGACCAAGCGGACGTATGTTAGGCTTTTCACTTTGCTGAAGGATATTGTTGTGAGACGACTTGGCATCGAACTTTCACCAGAAATATTCCAGATCGACTATGAAGCAGCAGTTATCAGTGCTATTAGTGAAGTCTTCCCCGACAGTTCCGTCCGAGGTTGCCTATTCCATTATTCTCAAGCTTTGTGGCGTCAAGTTTTGGAGAGGGACTGTCTCGCGACTACATGAACAACCCAGCAGTCAAGCCCACGTTCGACGAGCAGCTGCTTTGCCACTCCTTCCCCTGAACCAGGTCCAAGATGCTTGGTTTGAAGTCATCGAGCAGTCTCCCGACGGCGACAGAGTAGCAGCCTTCAACGACTACGTCACCAGCACCTGGGTTGAAGATGATGCCAAGTTCCCGGCACACATCTGGAACCAGCACGAAAACACAGGCCCGCGCTCAAACAACCATCTTGAGGGATTCCACTCTGGCTTGAAGAAACGCATACCCCGATCACACCCCAACATCTACCAATTCGTAAAGGAGCTCAAGAAGATCGAGAAGGCAGACAGGCGCACAAGACGACAGTTTGGACTTGGAGGAGCAAGGAGACCACGAGCACGTGTAGACCGTGATCGAGATCAGAGGATCGAGAGACTCAAGGTGCAGCTTTCCACCGGTGTGAAGTCTGTGATGCAGTTCCTTGATGCTGTTGGCCACATCCTCAAGCTAAACTGAGAACTCAATTCAATCAAACTCATAACTCTGTGTGCTCCTGATGACAATGAAGTGCTTTATTTATTTTAATTTAAAATCAAAGTTATTAATGTATTAAAGTAATGTGAATCACATACATTTGTTTGTTTTTCTTATCCCTTAGGCTGGTCCATTATTCCATGGGTAACATAGGCAGGAAATGGTGTGCAATGGTGCATAAAGTTGTTTTGATAAGACTGTAGGCGAAACGGTGATGTAGGCGATATGAGGACAGGCCGGTGAGTCAGCTGTGTATGAAGTACACTTAACACCCTCAAGGTGAGTCAGTTGGGTATTAGGCACACTTGACACCCTCAAGGTTAGTCAGTTGGGCATTAGGAACACTTGACAACCTCAAGGTGAGTAGAGTTGTGTATTAGGTACACTTGACAACCTCAAGGCACCCTCAAGGTGAGTCCCCTGCGTATTAAGTACACTTGACAACCTCAAGGTGAGTAGAGTTGTGTATTAGGTACACTTGACAACCTCAAGGTTAGTCAGTTGGGTATTAGGTAAACTTGACACCGTCAAGGTTAATCATCTGGGTCTTAGGTAAAATTGGCACCCTCAAGGTGAGTCATCTGGGTATTAGGTAAACTTTACACCCTCATAGTGAGTCAGTTGGGTATTAGGTAAACTTGACACCCTCAAGGTGAGTCATCTGGGTGTGAGGTAAACTTGACACCCTCAAGGTGAGTCAGATGGGTATTAGGTACACTTGACATCTTAAAGATGCAGGTATTCCTACCGCAGGTAACAGTCCTGCCATGCATCACGGACAGCGCCTTGCCTACAGCACTTCTCGGTGTGTCGACATGTTGCAGCCTTGTGAACTGGCTGAACAGAGGTTAAGTTACACTCTCCTTCCGTGTGGTCAACATAGTACCTCTGTCGATTCGTCGCCGCTTACATGGTGCATTCAGTTTATTGTTATTGTTTTTCATTTTATAGTAGGTCAAACATACCGTGATGTACCGTAAAATACCGTGATGTACCGTAACATAGCGTGGTGTACCGTAACATACCGTGATGTACCGTAACGTAGCGTGGTGTACCGTAACGTACCGTGGTGTACCGTAACATACCGTGGTGTACCGTAACATACCGTGGTGAACCGTAACATAGCGTGGTGTACCGTAACATACCGTGATGTACCGTAACATACCGTGATGTACCGTAACGTAGCGTGATGTACCGTACGTAACGTGATGTAACCTAACATACCGTGATGTACCGTAACGTAGCGTGATGTACCGTAACGTAACGTGATGTACCGTAACATAGCGTGATGTACCGTAACGTAACGTGATGTACCGTAACATACCGTGGTGTACCGTAACATAGCATGATGTACCGTAACATAGCGTGATGTGCCGTAACATAGCGTGATACATACCGTTACTGTCCATGTACCGTGACATATGGTAACGTAATTGAAATACAGTGATGATAATTTTATACGTCTTCACTCATTTTCCTATTGTTGTTGCAGCGTGAAGCCTCCATGGCAAGATCCAAGTTAATCGGACTTGTTTTGGCTGCTGGGATGTTCTTCGCGGTCCGATATTTGTCCACAAAGATGACACAATGTCCACATCGCAAGACAACGATGCCACGTGACCCAAGCCCTCAGACAGGACGAGGAAGATGTTGGAGACTGATGAGGGGGGAGCCAGCTGACGTCAATACAGCATCTTCACCACCGTCTGACGCCCGTGTCAACACGGGTATAGAGCGAGGCTGCGTTGCGTTGTTGCCACGTTATCAACGTCGTCGCCCTGTAGTGGAGGAGGAGAAAGTGTTCCCGTTGGCGTTTGCTCTCATCGTACACACAGCCCCCGGTCAGGTTGACCAGCTGATGAGAACAATTTACAGATCTCACAACGTGTACTGTATCCACGTTGACCGGAAGGCGCGCCGGTCTGTGGGACTCCTCAGTCAGTGGGCACAGTGTTTCCACAACGTGCTGGTCCTGCAGGAAGTGGAGGTGGTCTATGGCGGCGCTGGCTTAGTGACCGCAGCGCGTGCTTGTATGAGAATGTTGGCTAACACCCATGTTAAGTGGAAGTACTACATTATTTTGTCCGGACAAGAGTTTGTTCTTAAGACTAATCTTGAGATTGTGCAAATACTGAAATTACTGAATGGAACAAATGATATTGAACAATATCCTTTCCCCGAGCATCTGCGTTGGAGGTTTGAAACACGGTACTCGGTCATCAACGGAACCATGATGACTCGTCTCGTTGACGCCAAACCAGCCTTCAAGCAGAACATCACGCTCTACAAGGGCAGCATGTATGGGATGTTTTCCCGTGGTTTTGTATTATTTATTCTTGAGAGCAAAATTGCAGCAGAGTTGATAGACTGGGCAGAGGATAGTTATGCGCCAGAAGAACTAGTTTGGGCGACGTTGAATGGCTTACCCGGGGCTCCTGGGGGCTACAATGTGACTGTGAAGCATGATATCGCGTTGAACCAAGTTCTGTCCAGGGCCGTCATCTGGGAGTGGGACCGAGTGCCGTGCCATGGGAAGTTTGTTCGTTCCGTGTGTGTCTTCAGCTACAGAGATCTGCCCTGGCTGGTCAGCCGACCAGAAATCGTGGCTAACAAGTTCAACTCCAACTTCGATCAGTTGGTGATAGACTGTCTAGAGAGTTGGCTACACCACAAGGCAATGCTTAGCGAAACAATAAATATGAACTGGTATCATTATAGAAACGTTCCACAGTCCCAACAGAGCACCTGCAAGAACTGCAGACGCCAGTCCATGTGAGTATAAACTGGTGTCATCTCGCCGCCTTGGATATGTAAACTGTATTTCCAGTCGCTCATGTAGTCCATCATCGTCACCCAAGAGGAGATTATTTCACCTGTAGTAGTGTACAGAAGGCAAGGAGTAGTGTAGAGAAGGCCAGGAGTAGTGTAGAGAAGGCCATGAGTAGTACAAGTGCAGAGAAGGCCATGATAAGTACAGAGAAGGCAAGGAGTAGTGTACAGAAGGCAAGGAGTAGTGTACAGAAGGCCAGGAGTGGTGTAGAGAAGGCCATGAGTAGTACAAGAGCAGAGAAGGCCAGGATAAGTACAGAGAAGGCAAGGAGTAGTGTACAGAAGGCAAGGAGTAGTGTACAGAAGGCCATGAGTAGTGTAGAGAAGGCCATGAGTAGTATAAGTGCAGAGAAGGCCAGGATAAGTACAGAGAAGGCAAGGAGTAGTGTACAGAATGCCAGAAGTAGTGAACAGAAGGCCAGTAGTAGTGTACAGAAGGCCAGGAGCAGTGTACAGAAGGCAAGGAGCAGTGTACAGAAGGCCAGGAATAGTGTATAGAAGGCAAGGAGCAGTGTACAGAAGGCCAGGAGCAGTGTACAGAATGCCAGAAGTAGTGAACAGAAGGCCAGTAGTAGTGTACAGAAGGCCAGGAGTAGTGTACAGAATGCCAGAAGTAGTGTACAGAAGGCAAGGAGCAGTGTATAGAAGGCAAGGAGCAGTGTACAGAAGGCCAGGGGTAGTGTACAGAATGCCAGAAGTAATGTCAAGAAGGCCAGGAGTAGTGTACAGAAGGCCAGGGGTAGTGTACAGAAGGTCAGGAGTAGTGCAAAGAAGGCCAGGAGTAGTGTACAGGAGGCCATGAATAGGGCAAAGAAGGCCAGGTGTACAAGACCTGTAGTGTACAGAGAGGCCAGAAGGTGTACAAGACCTGTAGTAGTGTACAAGACCTGTAGTAGTGTATACAAGACCAGTAGTAGTGTACAAGACCAGGGTAGTGTACAGAAGACCAGTAGTAGTGTAAAGAAGGCCAGGAGTAGTGTACAGGAGGCCATGAATAGGGCAAAGAAGGCCATGTAGACCCGTAGTAGTGTACAAGACCTGTAGTAGTGTATACAAGACCTGTAGTAGTGTACAAGACCCGTAGTAGTGTATACAAGACCTGTAGTAGTGTACAAGACAAGACCTGTAGTAGTGTATACCTGTAAAACAAGACCTGTAGCAGTGTATACAAGACCTGTAGTAGTGTACAAGACCTGTAGTAGTGTATACAAGACCTGTAGTAGTGTACAAGACCTGTAGTAGTGTATACAAGACCTGTAGCAGTGTATACAAGACTTGTAGTAGTGTGTACAAGACCCGTAGTAGTGTACAAGACCTGTAGTAGTGTGTACAAGTCATGTAGTAGTGTACAAGACCTGTAGTAGTGTACAAGACTAGACCTGTAGTGTAGTAGTGTGTACAAGACCTGTAGTAGTGTACAAGACCTGTAGTAGTGTTCACAAGTCATGTAGTAGTGTACAAAACCTGTAGTATTGTGTACAAGACCTTCAGTAGTGTGTGTATGGCCTTTTGTGGCGTGTACAAAACCTGTAGTAGTATACAAGGCATGTAGTATTGTGTACAAAGCCTTCAGTAGTGTGTGTATGGCCTTTAGTGGCGTGTATGAATCCTGTAGTAGTGTACAAGACCTGTAGTATTGTGTACAAGGCCTTCAGTAGTGTGTCGATGGCCTTTAATGGCGTGTACAAAACCTGTAGTATTGTACAAGACCTGTAGTAGTGTACAAGACCTGTGACAATAGCTGATGCTGCCATCCCTATCTGTTCCACTGCAAAAGACCTTGGTATTGTCCTTGACTCCTCACTTTCGATGGAAGCTCAAGTCTCTCAGATCTGCAAAACCTGCCATTTTCACCTTCGTTCCATCAGTAACATCCGTCCCTATCTCTCAGTGGCTGCTACCCATCCCGTCAGAGCCCCCATAACCTCAAGATTGGATTATTGCAACAGTGAATTGTTTGACATTCCTCAAACACTCTGTGACAGACTCCAGAAAATCCCAAACCCTTCTGCCCGCATCGTTTATCGTCTCCCTAAACGCTGCCATATCAAGCCAGTACTGAAGGAGCTTCACTGGTTGTCCATCAAAGCCAGGATCGAGCATAAGATACTGTGTCTGACCTACAAAGCCAAGCACGGTCTTGCTCCCCAATACTTGTCTAACATGTTGTCACCATACTCCAATTCACGCAATCTTCGTTCCAACAGCCAGGATCTTCTCACTGTGCCTTCCTTCAGACTGAAAACTTTTGGACAGCGTTCTTTCACCTATGCAGCCCCTACTCTCTGGAACTCTCTTCCTTATGACCTCAAAACGATTGACAATTTCGACTTGTTCAAGTCCAAACTTAAAACCTACTTCTTCCAGCAGTATCTCCCTGAATGTGCTCTTGTATTACTTCTGTACATATGTACATACTTGACTCTGTAGCGCCTTGAGCATGTCTGTCGAGGTGGATTGGGCGCACATATAAATATGCATTATAAGTAGTAGTAGTTGTATTGTGTACAAGGCCTTCAGTAGTGTGTGTATGGCCTTTAGTGGCGTGTACAAAATCTGTAGTAGTATACAAGACCTGTAGTATTGTGTACAAGGCCTTCAGTAGTGTGTGTATGGCCTTTAGTGGCGTGTACAAAACCTGTAGTAGTATACAAGGCCTGTAGTATTGTGTACAAGGCCTTCAAGTAAGACCTGTAGTATTGTGTACAATGGCCTTCAGTAGTGTGTGTGTATGGCCTTTAGTGGCGTGTACAAAACCTGTAGTAGTATACAAGGCATGTAGTATTGTGTACAAGACCTACAAGGCCTGTAGTAGTAAGTTAATGTAGTGTTATATATGGCCTTTAGTGGCGTGTACAAAACCTGTAGTAGTGTACAAGGCCTGTAGTATTGTGTACAAGGCCTTCAGTAGTGTGTATGGCCTTTAGTGGCGTGTACAAAACCTGTAGTAGTGATTATACAAGACCTTGGTAGTAGTGTGTACAAGCTTTACCCGTAGTAGTGTACAAGACCAAGGCCTTCAGTAGTAAGTGGCGTACAAAATAAAGATCCGTGTAGTAGTGTGTACAAGGCCTGTGGTAGTGTGTACAAGGCCTTAGTAGTGTGTGAAAGTAAGTGTACAAGACCTGTAGTAGTGTGTATGGCCTTTAGTGGCGTGTACAAAACCTGTAGTAATGTATACAAGGCTAACACGATCTGTAGTAGTGTGTACAAGTCATGTAGTAGTGTACAAGACCTGTAGTAGTGTATACAAGACCTGTAGTGGTCTGTACATCGATCTGTAATAGCGTGCTACAAGGCCTGTAGTAGAAGCAAAACCGAGGGGCAAAAAAGAAACGTCCCCGATCATTTTTGTATCATAAAATGATACAAACACGTGCAATTCAATGCTGAAATGTTTGATATATTTTTTTGAACACATTATGCAGACTGTCATTACAGAACAATTGAAACAATTTGCTGTAAGTAGAGTTTTGTGACGTTTTTCACAGGAGGTTCAAATGTCCGGCTTTCGATCGGCGACAACACATGCACATCAGTACTGACAGAGTGTCTTTGAGTGTCCAACTCCTCAGTAGCGAGTGTAATCCACCTCTTGCAGCGATATTACATGCTGCCACACGACGTCGTGCAGAGTGCACAAGACGTCTGATCACGTGATGTGGGATGCGACGCCATTCTTCCCAGAGCTTGGAGCCAAAGCGTTTCTTGTCTGTGGGGATGTTGACGTTGCTTAACCTGACGGCCGAGATGATCCCATAGGTGCTCAATAGGTGATAAATCGGGGATCTTGCTGGCCAAGGAACGACGTTTACGTTAAGTTGTTGTTCAGGAAGTTCCGGGTAACAACAGCAGTGTGGGGAGTAGCGTTATCCTGCTGAAACAACACGCCTCGATTCTGCTGGAGGAAGGGTAACACGACAGGTCGTAAACAAACAATACCGCATCGACGGGCATTCAGGTTTCCCTCTATCACCAACAAGCCAGTCTTCCTCTCGCCACAAATCCCCATAACCATCACACTACCGCCGCCAAACGTCTCAACTTCCTGAACGCAACAACGTGCTGTGCGTTCGTTCCGACGTCTGGTGACTCGCACCCGACCATCAGCTTTGTTCAACTGGAAGCGGCTCTCGTCACTGAAGAGTACCCGGCGCCAGTTCCGCGGGCTGCCACTGCCGAACTCTACGCCCAAAGCCAATCGACGACGTCGATGTTCACGCGTTAACGTCACGCCCCGGAATGGTCTGTAGGCTCTGATACCGAATCGGCGGAGTCGTCTGGATATGGTCCTTCTACCGACTGGATGGGTAAGGCTGGTTGTTGCTGATGACGTCACAGTCAGGAATCTGTTGCGCAAGTGAAGCACCCGTAAATGGCGGTCTTCATGAGGGTGGTTACATGGGTGGTCTCCCCGTGTCCTCGGCCTGTCTGCAGTCCGACCTGTTGTTCTGAAGCGTGTCATCAGTCTGGTGATGGTTTCTTGCTGCAACCCATGATTCTTGCAACGTGACCGTGAGAAGCACCCAGCCGCAACATCCCAATAGCTCGTTCCTCTGTTCCGCCGTGCAGTCGAGGGGCATGTTCCTTTGTGTCCAACGTATTGAAGTGATGAATCTGAACAGTCGAGCATAATCTTTATACTGTACTTTCATACGGGTATGTTTCAACAGAAGCATGCAAAAACGTGAATAAAAGCAATTTTCATGCTTACTTACAAAAACCCACGTGGATTTCCTTCTGTGAGACGTGGGGATGCGTTCGGGAGATGTGTTCCTAAATAAATTTCCGTCATAACGAAACAGAAGAAAATGTTTTTACACCTTTACTAGAAGGGACGTTTCTTTCGCTCCTATAGTTTATAGATCTAGAGAGGCCTGTAGTAGACGTATATAGAAGGCCTGTAGTAGAAGTATATAGAAGGCCTGTAGTAGACGTATATAGAAGGCCTGTAGTAGACGTATATAGAAGGCCTGTAGTAGACGTATATAGAAGGCCTGTAGTAGAAGTATATAGAAGGCCTGTAGTAGACGTATATAGAAGGCCTGTAGTAGAAGTATATAGAAGGGCTGTAGTAGATGTATATAGAAGGCCTGTAGTAGACGTATATAGAAGGGCTGTAGTAGACGTATATAGAAGGGCTGTAGTAGACGTATATAGAAGGCCTGTAGTAGACGTATATAGAAGTCTAGTAGATGTATATAGAAGGGCTGTAGATAGAAGGCTGTAGTAGAAGTATATAGAAGGGTAGACTGTAGTGTAGACGTATATAGAAGGCCTGTAGTAGACTGTAGTAGACGCATATATAGAAGAGGCCTGTAGTAGACGTATATAGAAGGCCTGTAGAAGTAGATATATAAGGGCTGTAGAAGGGCCTGTAGTAGACGTATATAGAAGGCCTGTAGTAGACGTGTGTAGAAGGGCTGTAGTAGACGTATATAGAAGGCCTGTAGTAGACGTTTATAGAAGGCCTGTAGTAGACGTATATAGAAGGCCTGTAGTAGACGTATATAGAAGGCCTGTGTAAACAAGCCATCAGGTGTTCAGGAGGCCTCCCCGGTAGAATAGTAGACGTATATAGAAGGCCTGTAGTAGACGTATATAGAAGGCCTGTGTAAACAAGCCATCAGGTGTTCAGGAGGCATCCCCCAGGAATACGTTACACTATACGTTACACTATACGTTACACTATACGTTATACTATTACGTTACACTATATTTCTTCGGTTATGGGGACGAGATCAATATGTTCATGATATCTCACAAATACCAAACAGGCTAAAATATGTTTCGTGATAATCTGTCTATGTTTGAAGTTGATCCAAAAACATTCTTGCAACGACTTGTGATTGTGGATGGTACGGGGAATTACCACTGCCACCATGTCTCAACACAACAATCTGTACATACACAACAAGATTTAAGTGTTTCATTATTCTGCAATTCCTTCTCTGTGAAGCTTAGAACGCATGGATGAACGTGTGAATCACAGCCTGGATCAATCAACGTATGAATCAATCGACGTATGAATCACGTGTGAAGCCAAATGTGATGACCTCCTTCGGCTTCAGCCGCTGGTCAAGCCCCAAAGCGATACTGGGTATTGCAAGAACATGAACATACATGGCCTCTGCTGGTGTTTTAATTGGTTGTATCCAAATTTGCAATATTCGACTTCATTAGACAGTGACAAAGGGAAGTTAGACTTCGGGACGTTATCGAGTTTTATTGCGTCAAGGTTACATGATACAGGACACTGAGTATGTAATAATCATTAACGATGCTTAGCTATGTTTCAGAAGTAATCAGTTGGACTCTTGTACTTGTGTTTAAAGATGGAAAAAAATGATACAAGAAAGTAAGGACAAACTTTCGGAATAACCAGCGAGAGCGAAATGTGTTATTGTGTGGCTCTAGAAAGGTCTTTGTGCATGTGTCATTCCGGGACCCTCCACTACGATGCCTTCCATAGCCTGGGGTAGCCCTGGCATCGCTGGCCGATGGCGGGGTTGCCCTGGGAGGGGGACCTCGGTGTTCTTCAAGGCCATGATGTTTCTCACGGGCATCGCGATCCGCCCCTCCAACTCCTTCACCAGGGCGAGCTTCGACATCATCTTAAGGCGGTACACCTTGGAGATAGCACGGCTGAAACGAGGGGAACACTGTGAATATACTGAGGATAAACTTTGGGAATGTGTCTGTGTGTATGTGCTTGCGTGCGCGTAAGGGATTGATGTGGGCAGACAGGATCCTGGCGACGACAGCATATCTGCTGCATCAACCGATGTCATCAGTGGCAGGTCCCCGATCTACTGAGAAAGCTGAGTTGACATGTCTGTGTGGGTCCAGTGTGAGAGAGTAAATTGGGTCTCTGTATATAAACACGATGCGTATTTTCTATGGGTGTTTTGCTAGCGCCAACAACAAACATCGGGAACAATCAAAGCATTAATTTAGTGGATATTTGCTTTTGACTTTTACCACGGCCCGTTAGAGACAAAACAAGTCCAACATATTTCTGTAATAATCTCTGTGCAGATCCTCAAAATTTACAAACAGATGAAGTTGTGTTCACTGTATGTACTTATAATACTGTCGATAGATCCTCAACATCGTGCACTTACAACTGGAGGAGATCCTTGTAGAAGCTGCCGAGTACTGCCTTCCTGATGTCGTCTATCTGACTCTCGAAGTCCAGTAACTTCGCCACGGTGAGTTGGGCATCGCCGTTACCTGAAACACGCACACCTACCGATACATTGTGCAGAACACTGGCACGAGTGAGGGCCAACCGTCTCACAGTGAGAGACATAGGGACAGGAAATCATTACTGTATAATGTACCATCTCTGTATAAGGGACTACCTTCATAAAGGTTGCTGCAGCTAGCACTGAGGTTATAATGACATTTTATAAGATGGTTGGAAATGCTAGTGCTACCGTCGATAAGCCAGATATGCTCATCTTACTACTAGTGATAATGATGTTGATATATACTAACACAGATGCTTGCTTTTGTTACTGAAATTAAACACGTTTCCAGATAGTTCATTACTCTCAAGTTGTCTTACCTGCCATTCGCCCCATCGTCGGAGGCATTGGCTGACCACGCAACGTATTCATTGGCGGCATCCCGGGGGATGGAGATGGACCTTTGTGATCTTTCTTGCCTTCCTTATCTTCAGCTACTGTTGCCTTGGGCATCCGTGGAGACATACCAGGACGCATCACCGGAGACAATCCAGATGCCATCATGCGACTAGCTCTTTGTCTAGCCATCATACGCAACATCATTGGTGACAAGCCCCCTCGCATACCAGGTATAGGTGGTTGCCCAGGCATACTGGTAGGCATGGGCTGTGCTTGCATTCCTTGGGCCATCATTGAAGGAGGCATCCCATGACCTTGCATTCCTTGGGCCATCATTGAAGGAGGCATCCCATGACCTTGCATTCCTTGGGCCATCATTGAAGGAGGCATTCCATGACCTTGCATTTCTTGGACCATCATTGATGGAGGCAAACCATGACCTTGCATTCCTTGGGCCATCATTGAAGGAGGCATTCCGTGACCTTGCATTCCTTGGGCCATCATTGAAGGAGGCATTCCGTGACCTTGCATTCCTTGGGACATCATTGATGGAGGCAAACCATGACCTTGCATTCCTTGGGCCATCATTGAAGGAGGCATTCCATGACCTTGCATTCCTTGGACCATCATTGAAGGAGGCATTCCATGACCTTGCATTCCTTGGGCCATCATTGATGGAGGCATTCCATGACCTTGCATTGCTTGGGCCATCATTGAAGGAGGCATTCCGAGACCTTGCATTCCTTGGGCCATCATTGAAGGAGGTATTCCATGACCTTGCATTCCTATTGGCATTTGCATTGGCTCCCCAAACAAAGATGGAGGTAATCCATTCTCTGTTCCGTTCTGGTCAGTTCCTTGGGGTGGCACTTGGCCCATCAGTGACCCACCTGGCATTCCCATAGGACCCCCAAACACGTCCCCCCGTGGTAGTCCGGGCATACCCTCTCCAATGGGCATCATGGGGGGACCTCCCTCGGGCATTCCGTGACGCTGAAGACCTCCCATCTCTGGCATTTCCATACCAGACCCAAGCCGGGCACCACCCATGGCGAACGGATTAGGGACAGCATCCTTGGCAGGATCCTTTGACGATTCTTCCGTCTTTGGTGCATCTGGAATGTGAGGTGTTGGGTGTTAATCTTCTCACTTGACTGCTGTAGCGAGTGTTTCCTAACATAGTACTCACTACTTCTGACATGCACGCAATGCCTCACCCCCATCCTTACTCTACCTGCTCTAGCGTGTGTTTCCTAACATAGTACTCACCACTTCTGACATGCACGCAATGCCTAACCCCCATCCTTACTCAGCCTGCTGTAGGGAGTGTTTCCTAACATAGTACTCACCACTTCTGACATGCACGCAATGCCGCACACCCATCCTTACTCTACCTGCTGTAGGGAGTGTTTCCTAACATAGTACTCACCACTTCTGACATGCACGCAATGCCGCACCCCCATCCTTACTCTACCTGCTGTAGCGTGTGTTTCCTAACATAGTACTCACTACTTCTGACATGCACGCAATGCCTCACCCCCATCCTTACTCTACCTGCTGTAGCGAGTGTTTCCTAACATAGTACTCACCACTTCTGACATGCACGCAATGCCTCACCCCCATCCTTACTCTACCTGCTCTAGCGTGTGTTTCCTAACATAGTACTCACTACTTCTGACTACTTCTGATCACCTGCACGCAACATGCCTCACCCCATCCTTACTCTACCTGCTCTAGCGTGTGTTTCCTAACATAGTACTCACTACTTCTGACATGCACGCAATGCCTCACCCCCATCCTTACTCTACCTGCTGTAGCGAGTGTTTCCTAACATAGTACTCACCACTTCTGACATGCACGCAATGCCTCACCCCCATCCTTACTCTACCTGCTGTAGGAAGTGTTTCCTAACATAGTACTCACTACTTCTGACATGCACGCAATGCCTCACCCCCATCCTTACTCTACCTGCTGTAGGGAGTGTTTCCTAACATAGTACTCACCACTTCTGACATGCACGCAATGCCTCACCCCCATCCTTACTCTACCTGCTGTAGCGAGTGTTTCCTAACATAGTACTCACTACTTCTGACATGCACGCAATGCCTCACCCCCCATCCTTACTTTCTGCCTGCTGTAGGGAGTGTTTCCTAACATAGTACTCACACTTCTGACATGCACGCAATACCCTCACCCCATCCTTACTCTCACCTGCTGTAGCGAGTGTTTCCTAACATAGTACTGCACCACTGCCGTGACATGCACCCACCCCGCTTCCCCCATCCCACTCAGGCCTGCTGTAGGGAGTGTTTCCTAACATAGTACTTCCACTACTTTACATGCACGCAATGCCTCACCCCTTTATCCTTATTCTGCCTGCTGTAGGGAGTGTTTCCCTAACATATACTCACTACTTCTGACATGCACGCAATACCTCACCCCCATCCTTACTCTACCTGCTGTAGCGAGTGTTTCCTAACATAGTACTCCCACTTCTTCTGATACATGCACGCAATGCCGCACCCCGTGTATCCTTACTCAGCCTGCTGTAGGAGGTTTCCCTAACATAGTACTCACTACTTCTGACATGCATATGCAATGCCGCACACCCATCCTTATTTCTCTGCTGCTGTGGCGAGTGTTTCTATAACATAGTACTCACTACTTCTGACATGCACGCAATGCCTCACCTCCATCCTTATCATCAGCCTGCTGTAGCGTGTGTTTCCTAACATAGTACTCACACTCACTTCCTGACATGCACGCAATGCCGCACCCCATCCTTACTATGCACCTGCTGTAGGGAGTGTTTCTTAACATAGTACTCTCACTACTTCTGACATGCACGCAATGCCAGCACACCCATCCTTACTCTACCTGCTGTGGATGTATTTCCATAACATAATACGCTGCAGGGATACTTTCGATGACATACACATAGCAATGGTGCACACCCATCTTGACTCTGCCTGCAGCGAAGGAGTGTTTCCTAACATACTGTACTCACTACTCTGGACATGCACGCAACATGCCTCACCCCCATCCTTACTCAGCCTGTTGTAGCGTGTGTTTCCTAACATAGTACTCCACTGCTTTCTGACATGCATCGCAATGCCGCACCCCATCGCCACTCTACCTGCTGTGGGAGTGTTTCCTAACATAGTACTCACCACTTCTGACATGCATATACGCAATGCCTCACCCCATCCTTATTACTCTACCTGCTGTACATGGTATATACAACATGGCAGGATGGTATGTACATGTTATATACAACATGGCAGGATGGTATGTACATGTTATATACAACATGGCAGGATGGTATGTACATGGTATATACAACATGGCAGGATGGTATGTACATGGTATATACAACATGGCAGGATGGTATGTATAATACAACATGGCAGGATGGTATGTACATGGTATATACAACATGGCAGGATGGTATGTACATGGTATATACAACATGGCAGGATGGTATGTACATGGTTATATACAACATGGCAGGATGGTATGTACATGTTATATACAACAAGGCAGGATGGTATGTACATGTTATATACAACATGGCAGGATGGTATGTACATGGTATATACAACATGGCAGGTACATGGTATGGTATGTACATGTTGTATACAACATGGCAGGATGGTATGTACATGTTATATACAACATGGCAGGATGGTATGTACATGTTATATACAACACTGGAGGAAGCATTGGAGTTCTGTCAAAACCCTCAAGGTGTGATACAGTGAAATTGATCACAGTTTAAATCTGAATGACAGGTCACGCCTTGCCTTACTTCCTTGTCCGGGACCACGTAATCCACAACCTCGCTGTCCTCAGTAAGGAAATATACATGTATAAGTACTAATAGTTATGTAATAACAGCATCAAAAACATCGATTACTGGTCACGAGGAGGAAACATCAATGCCAAGGACGCCAGCATTAGATGATTAGATGGGTATTGTCAGGAAACATGTATCGGGGAGAACCTGAGTTTGGGTCTTACCTCTAGCCAGTTGTCTCTTTACCCGGGACGGTCGGGTGGATGCCGCCGCCAGCAGCAGGCAAAGCGTTAGTCCCGTTACTATATTCATCTGTTGATAGAAAGTTGTTGTGGTGTAAGTCATAGGGCTGTAACAAGGCTGTTTACAGGATGAAGAATAATAAAAGCCCAGGGATTGATGGATTTCCTATTGATTTCTTTAAGAAATTTTAAAAAGGTGGATCTTTATTTATTGAAGATGTATCAACAAAAAAATAATTGTTTTTAAATATGAAAAGGGATGTTATCACCTGTATTCCAAAAATCCAAAAAGATAAAACATTACTTAATTACTAGAGGCCAATCACTTTACTATTCATAAAATTATCAGCTCCTGCATTGCACATAGATTAAAAGCTACTTTAGGCGAACTTATTCACTCTAACCAAGCTGGTTTTATACCGGGTAGGACTATTAGTGAAACTACAAGATTGCTATATGATATAATGTTTGAAACAAAGAAACAAAACATTTCTGGTTTGCTTATTCTGATTGACTTTGAAAAAGCGTTTGACACGGTTTAAAAAGATTTTATCAAGCTAGTTTTACATAAATTTGAATTTGGCCCTGAAATGATAAGATTGATATATATATATATATATATATATATATATATATATATATATATATATATATATGTACGCACAAAATGTCCAAAGTAGTACAGGTGTTCAGTCATAAATATTGCATAGATAAATAAAAACAGAATGCCGTTTTTCTCCAACATGTTTCGTTCTTTACTCTTCAGGGAGATTGTAGCGGTTACAGTATGCTACAATCTGCTACTGTAACCGCTACAATCTCCTGAAGAGTAAAGAACGAAACATGTTGGAGAAAACGGCATTCTGTTTTTATTTATCTATGCAATATATATATATATATATATATTATCATCTAATGGAGGGTGTTATCGATGCAATAAAGCAATCTGATAAATTTGGTATCCAAATCTGAATAACTATGCAAATTACGTTAATCCTCGAACTACTTTCACAAAACTCCATACACGCCAAGCCAATCCTAAAACGTTTAACATTTCATTGATGACGTCGTCGCGAGTTTATATTGCGTGGACGTGTTTGCAAACAAACATGGCTGCCCCCTTCTCAAAATTGGTGATTCTGTAAGAATTGACGACAGAGGTTCTGGAGTCGTTACTGCAGTAATTGAATTTGGAAAACATCAACCGGAGTACTTCGTTCAAATTGAAGGTGCGGATTATGAGGCACGGATGAAAGGCGATCGTCTAAGAAAGGTACCAACCAAGGATGTCGATCTATCGATCACAATACAGACGATGAATCGATTCCTTCAGGTATCAGAAACTGATACTGATGTGGTGACTGTGCCAATCTTGAACCGGTTTGTACCAGCCGGAGATAGAGTATATCTGGTTTTATACAGCAGTTTTATATAATACTGTTTATCTG